TCCAGTTGGTGACACCAAGTGTTTGTGGGTGTCTGGACTTTATCTCTCCATCGTCTTCTTGGTCTGCCTCGTGGTCTACGACCATTCAGCTACCTTGTGTAAACAGTTTTTACCTCTCTGTCATTTGACATTCTCTGAATATGCTCAAGCCATTTCAATCTATTCGATCTCATCACCTCCAATCTACTTCTCTCAGTAGGCTAAAATATATTGGCCACTCAAGCATAGGTTAGTTGCGTATCTTTTACAGGTCGTTGCAGAACCAACCCCAACAGCCCTTGGCTGTTGTGTGGTTTTTCTAGGTAAATTTACCTCCAGTAGTTTGCCATTCCTACTGGACGGTCGGCTTTCTTGATACCATTGTCGAAACCAAAGCAAGGCGCAAGGCCCGCAGCTGGGATCGAACCCGGCACCCCGGCATTACGAAGCGTTCGCATTGACATGGCCACAGAGCTGACACTCAAGCATAGCTGTAGTTAAAAACCAACAGTAATGGGATGAATGGTTTAGAAAACATACAACAAGAATTATGACGGAATTTTAAAATAAAGGAATGATTCTATCAGTTCTCAACTTCAAAGAATATTTTTTAAGAGACTCAGCAAGCGAACTAAAACCATTTTATAGATTCAGTTCCGCATATCTGTTTACATTCAGTTAGAATGTGTTGCATAGATTCAATTTGTCCTTCTATAGATTAAGTTAAACAATGTATAGATTCAGTTCTCAACTATATTATAGATTCACTTGTATTATTTGATAAATTAAAAAGTAAATGCTTTAATGCATTCAGTCTCATTAAAGAGATTTAATTTTCCACCAATTTATTTATTTATCCCTATATAAATGCATTTCTTTTGAAGATTCATTTATATAATTTTCAATACATTAAGTTTTCCGCTCTAGAATCAGTTCTGTACCCTTCTATAGATTCAATTAGATATACAAATATATAATGTTCTTTAAATGCTATGCTATACCCTTCTATAGAATCGGTTAGATATACAGTTATATAATGTTGTGCAGATACAGTTCTATACCCTTCTATAGATTCACTTAGTTATACAATTATATAATGTTATGTAGATACAATTCTATACCCTTCTAAAGTTGTATTTTCCATAAATTCGTCTGTATTCTCCGAAAGATCCAATTTCTATCCTCCACGACCGGCTTCAGCTGACGGACCGTGCTAGTGGCGTCACTGGGTCTGGCTAACTATGCGTTAGAAAACAAGAAATAAACTATTTTCGACAGTGGCGAGGGAAGACAACTTAGATTTTAACTTTTAAGCATCTAAATGCCTTCTTTAATAATTTAACAATTTTTGCCGACTTTTCTTGATTATTGCCGCGGCACCCCTGGCATACGCTCACGGCACCCCAGGGTGCCTCGGCACCCAGTTTGAGAACCGCCGCGTTAACGCATCGTTAGGCCGACTCGGTGTCGACAGCAGCACGGCCCCTTAGCTGGAACCGGTCTTGTGATCTTCATCGACATTCAGAAGCGTATTCTGATGCACGCTTTCTGTGTTTTCAGGTGTTAAGAATGTTTATCTAATCTTCATAAGCTCCAAGGATGTCGTAAAAGGCGACTATTTAGGGTTATGCTGAAATTGGATGTATTCGGTCGAAATGCGCAGATATGGTTATCTGGCTGTAAACTAAAACACAACTTGATAACTGCTCTTTAAACTTTTTTAAGTGTGAGCGTAATAAAAAAAAAGAAGGAAGAGAAGATTAAGAGAATAGAGAAGAAGAAAGAGAATTAGAAGAAGAGGAAGAAGAAGAAGATGATGATAATGATGATGATGATGATGATGATGATGATGATGATGATGAAGATGATAAAGAAGAATCAATGACTGAATCGAGGCAAGAAAGAAGAATATGAGAACAAGAAAAATGGCCCTCTAAAAGTTTGAAGACAGAAGAAAACACATTTAAGCCCCGAAGATAACAGGCGATCATCGGCGAGCCGAGAAGAAGATGCGCACATTATGTAGATTGTGATTGCCGTTATGCAAATGTGACGGGTCAGCCAAGAAAGGAGATAACTTGGGACAAAAAGTTGCCAGCGCTCGTGCTGAAAGGACACGTGTGGGGAATCCGCCTTACAATCAATGGCGCCTGAATCTGAGGTGGGAAAAGGTGAGGAATAAAGGAAGGCGGGGTAGTGTGGCGGGGGGGGGGGGTGGTGAAGGGGCACCTTAAACAATTTTAAACTGAGCCACCACACCTAGTGTGACCATCAGATGGGACAGTCCCAGTTTTTAAGTCTGTACCGACTGTGTGCTTGGTACTTTAAAACACGAACCAGTCCCGTTTTTAAGTCTGTGCCGACTGTACTCTTGGTACTCTAAAACACAAACCAGTCCCGTTTTTAAGTCTGTACCGACTGTACTCTTGGTACTCTAAAACACGAACCAGTCCCGTTTTTAAGTCTGTACCGACTGTACTCTTGATACTCTAAAACACGAACCAGTCCCGCTTGTAAAAAA